CATTCCTGGGTGTCTGGAGAAAACCATAATTTGAGAAGATACATGCACTTCAGTGTTCACAGCAGAACTATCTACAATAACCAGGACATGGAAGCAACCTAAACATCCATTGACAGATGAATGGATAAAGAAGACGTGGTCCATATATATAATGGATTAGTACTCAGCTATAAAATGGAATGAAATAATGCTATTTGGAGCAACATGGATGGATCTAGAGATGATCATACAAAGTAAAGTAAGTCAGACAGAGAAAGACAAATAAGAATCTAAAATATGACAGAGATTTCCCTTGTGGTCCAGTGGTTGAGAATCTGCCTGCTGATGCAGAGGATACAGGTTTGATCCCTGGTCTGGGAAGATCGCACACGCCACGGGGTAACTAAGCAAAGGTCGTGTGCTCTAGAGCCCCTGCTCCACAATAAAAGAAGCCACAATGGAGATGCCTGAGCATTGCAACTGGAAAGTAGCTCCTGCTCGCTGCAACTAGACAAAGTCCGTGCACAGCAACAAAGACCCTGCACAGCCAAAAACAAGTACTTTTGTAAAAGGATAAAAAAATGACACAATTAAGTTATCTACAAAACAGACTCACAGACATAGAAAAAAACTTATGGTTACCAAAGGGACAGGGGCGCAGAGGGATAAATGAGGAGTTTGGGATCAATATATACATGGTACTATATATAAAACAGGCAAACAACAAGGACAAGGTTTGATACAGGGAACTATATTCACTCTCTTGTAATAACCTCTAATGGGAAAGAATCTGAAAAGGTATATGTGTGTATACATAACTGAATGAATTTTTCTATACACCTGAAACTAACACAAGATTGTAAACCAACCATGGTTCAAATTAAAAAATAAGAGTACACAGCCACTGAATAGCAGAGCTGACTTCCCTGGTGGCTCAGAGGGTAAAGCGTTCAGTGTGAGGTCACAATGACATCACCACCTCACAGTCAGAAGGTCAGGATGTGAGCAGCAACAACGGCCCACCTGTATTCAGATTATCATAAAGCCTGAATGCTACAATGTGCATGAGTCAGGTTTATATAATTGTAGGTTGTGATGGCTTTCATAAAAAAGGGCTGTTACGCGTATGTACACCTGTCTCTACATGCTTACACACAACACACACATCAACACCCATACAGGAGTAACCAGGAGGGTCCTAAGAGATTGTCCGTACTTTACAAGGGAGGACAGTGAGGTTTGGTAAGAGACTTCTTTGTACTTTCCCTAGGGCTGGCAAAATGACACCAAGGCTTAGAGAACAAATGACTGGAGGGTAGGCAAGGGACCAGAGAACTGTAATACTGCAATGGAACATAGGAAAGCCTGGCTCACTTGGTGGTAGGAACCCCAGTCCAAACCGGGAGGGAAGCTGACTAGAACCAGAGAGACCATCAAGATGATGGGGTGACGATGAAGTGGGCAGGAAGGGAAGGTTCCAGGTGGCAGGACAAAGCTATCTGCTTTTAGGGGAGAGTGTTCAGAAAAGCTTTACACTGAGGTGACCTGATACTGTTTCTTCCTTATGTGTCCTCATACTGTTCATTCCCAACTTGGGAATTCGGGTTTAACAGAGACACACTACTATGTATTAGAGATCAACAAAGACCTACCTATTGTATAGCACAGGGAACCACATTCAATATCGTGCAATAATCTATAATGAAAAGAATCTGAGATATATATATGCATATGAATATATATATATATAAAATGGAATCACTTGGCTGCACACCTGAAACATTGTAAATCAACTATATCTCAATAATAAAAAGTAGATAGGATAATTTGAGACAGCGGAGGGCGTCAGGAAGAATCAAGCAGAGGAGAGGGGAGAGGAGAAAGTGTGGTGGGGGGAGGCCAGGTGGGCAGGATACAGCCTCCTGCAGATGATGCCTGAGGATGCAGTGATAAGAAAGAACCAGGCGCCAGAGGACTTGGGGAACTTGTTATTCTGTCACCTTCCTCAGGGGTCCGGCTGACCCCACACTCATCAAGAGCAGCAGTAACAGTGTTCTGTGACTGCCCACTGATGGCTAACGGGCTTCACCATGCTCAGGGAGGCTGGTCTGAGAGTATATATTTGACATCTGACCAGGAGGCTGGACTTGGCAGTGTCCTGCGGGCGGCCCCGCAGTCAAGTGAGCTCCCAAGACTAGGAAGTGGTTAAGGAGGGAGCCTGAACTGAGCCCACCGCTCTCAGGTCGGAAAGACCAAGGTGAGGGGTTTGATTACTAAAGGGGTTGGGAGTCATCTGGTCCTTACAGAAGTGACTCCTTGGCCACACTCCATGCAACTCTCCTCCACGATGCCCCCAGACTCCACATCTGCCCATTCCTTCCTCAGAGGTCCAGTGGACCCCACACTCATCTTACCCCTACCTTCCTGCCAATGCCTGGTCCCAGTCCAAACGAGATGAGAAGGCCCCGACAAGCGATCCAAGTCCACAGCTGACAAAACAGCCCACGGCACACGTCCTGTGCCCAGATGGATGGGGACTGGGGGTCAACTGTGTCATCTGTCCCCACGAAGAGAGCATGTTATTACACTAATTACAGGGTCCTGGGCTTTACTGGGAACCAAAAATAGACATATGTGGCTTCTGGGGACAGGCACCAACATTCCTTTGGCTTCCTTTGCTATGTGATTTTTTTTTTTTTTTGGACAAATCATTGCCATGATTAGTGAAAAAAAGAGTGGGGGGGGGTTTGGGGGGAAGCAGGCTGCCAAAGGCTGTGCTGCCTCAGGGCGGTTCTGGAAGGGAGTGTGCATTTGACCTGAGCTACTATCACACAGGTCCTGTTCAGGGTGCTGTTCTCCATGGTCACGTGTGACCACAAAGGACTTGGAAGAGACAGCCCCGCTGTGTCCTCTGCACCAGTTTTTTTGATTTCCAGGTTCTTTGCATCTCCTAATGAGGCACTGCACATGCCAGCCCAGCGCGGTGGGCCTTTTCCCTGGAGAAGAAATTGGTGAGAGGTTCAGGCTGACTCGGCACCAGGAGGAGAGAAGGAATTAGCATTTTCTGAGCCCCTGCGGTGTGCTCCCCTGAGCCAGATGCTTTTGCTGACGCGTGGTAAAATCTGTGGAAGGTAAATGAAGAACCGAAGGCTCTGCAGAAAGAAGTCAAGCGGGGAGCTGGAATCTGGGCTCAAGTCTTTTCATTCCAAACCCATGTTCTTCCAGCATCATCTCAGGATAAAGTTAATCCAAGGCCAATCAAAGGATGAGTAGCACTTTGCGCTTGGCAGGTGCCTTGAGATACGAGTGGTGGAACATGGTGTGCCTGTCCAGGTGGGCATTGAGGGTAGAGGGTGAGTGGTGGGAGGAGATGGAACAGAGAAGTGGTTGGAACAGTACTGGCTGCCGTCAGTACTTGGAAGGTTCAGAGGAGCCAGTGAGGAAGGGGTGGTGGGTCCTGATCTGTCCTACAAGCACTGCTCTGACGGTAGTGTGGGGGCTGGGCCGAAGGGAGAACTGGCTCAGTAACACAGGCAAGAAGTCATCAGGGCTTCGTGAGTTATGGCTTGTGTTGGCTTCGGGTTTAGAAATAGGGACTGCCGGTGACTCAACGAGGCACGGACAGGGACAGGCGCTGTGAGGCCGGGCTGTGGCAATGGTTCCGAGTCACATGCATCAGAGGCCAGCCTTCGTCAATGGAAGCAGAAGACAGGTTGATGGAAAGAATCCTGAGCACCTAGAAAATCAGTTGGAAGGCAGATGCCTGAGCTGGGGGATAAGCAGCCTGGAGCAACACCCAGAATCACATGGCAGAAGGAGGCTGGGGGAACTCCTGCTGCTCCCGCTGAACCCTGGCTGGCTTCGCTGCCACCTCTGTGTCACAAACTTCAACCTGTAGCGGAGAGGGAGAGGAGGAACTAAACCATTCCTGCTTCCAGCTCCGGAGTCAAGGCCCAGCGTGGGCACAGCCCTGGGGGCTCCTGCAGGGGGCTTGTGCCCTGGTTGTAGAGGCTGCTGGAAACTCCAGGTTTTGTCATCCTCTAAAACAGGCGCCAGACATCCAGGACAGTGAGAACTCAGAGTAGGGGACTCCTCAAACTAAAAAGGCAATTGAGACATTGGATGGCCAGATACGATGATCGGAATTCACTAACAGAGCTTTAGCTGAGAACTGAGAAAACGGGACAAAATGGAGAAATTGGGTGCCGATGATAAAATATTCTCTAACAGGTATTGAGTGATTGCTCTGTGTGCTGAGTGCTCTAAGTGCAGAATCTCATTTAATCCTCATGACAAATCCATGGCAATCATGAGCAATCATGAGTATTATATCAATTTTACAAAAGAGCCAAATGTATTACAGAAACGTCCCTGCATAGGCCTAGCAGGTGGCCAGACTGAGATTCTAGCTCAGGCTGCCCATCTTCAGAAACTAGTCATACTTCCATCAAAGAGGGCTGTGTGAGGAACTCAAGGTATGTTTCCTTAAGTCAGAGCATTGTAACCAGCTTGTCCCTAAGCCTCACTATTCATGGGGGAAATTATGGCGCATAAATTGCTCACCGGAATTCCAGTCTTTTGCAAGGCCCATCTCAAGGTTCTCCTGGGAGTCTCTAAGAACAGTTCAGTGGGCTTATGAGTCAGGATATTGGTGGTGACTCGGTTATCAGCATCCTTTCCAAACTCGGACCTGCTGCGGGCACTGCTGGCCACATGTAGAAATTCCAGTGCTCCCATCCAGGCTTCTGATGAATGGACACTCTCCAGAAGCCTCTCATTTTTTAAAAAAATTGAAGTTCACTTGCTTTACAAAGTTGTGTTACTTTCAGGTGTAAAGCAGAGTGATTCAGTTATACATACATTGTTGTGTAATCACTGAGTCGTATCTAACTCTTTGTGACCCCATGGACTGCAGCACGCCAGGCTTCCCTGTTCATCCCCAACTCCCAGAGTTTGCTCAGACTCATGTCCATCGAGTGGTGATGCCATCTGACCATCTCGCCCTCTGTCGTCCCCTTTTCCTCCCGCCCTCAATCTTTCCCAGCATCAGGATCTTTTCCAGTGAGTCGGCTCTTGGAAAGAGCCGAAGTACTCTTCATGTGGCCGAAGTACTGGCGCTTCGGCTTTAGCATCAGTCCTTCCAATGAACAGTCAGGGTTGGTTTCCTTTAGGAGGGACTGATTTGATCTCCTTGCAGTCCAAGGGACTCTCACACATACATGTGTGTACCTATTCTTTTTCAGATTCTTTTCCATTACAGGTTATTACAGGATATTGAATGCAGCTCCCAGTGTTCTACAGCAGCCCAGGAAGGACTTCAGAAGCAGATGTCTGCAGCTCACCCTGGCCTGCGCAGCCCCAGACTGTCTGAAGAGAGAAGGATCAGCTCCCTGGGCATCCTCTGTGACAGCGGACATGGGGGTGTGCAGCAAGGCTACCTGCCCTAATTTTAGTGGTGGTGGCGGGGGGGCGGGGGTGGAAAGTTTAGTTACTCCTCCGTGTCTCAACCACCTCAAATCATTCTCCTCCCCTCCCAACCTCATGTTCATTTGTTCAGCCAGCAACAAATATTCATTGTGGACTGATTATCTATAAAATAACCATATCTATGGAATCTTTTTATCTTGGTTTGGGTCTCCCTGCAAGCAGGGTTGAGACAGGGACTTACGTGTGGGTCATTAATGTGGAAAGTGACCCCAGGAAGTCACCTTTGGTCACCTGATGCCAAGAGCTGTTTCGTTGGAAAAGACCCTGATGCTGGGAAAGATAGAAGGCAGGAGGAGAAGGGGCGACAGAGGATGAGATGGTTGGATGTCATCATCAACTCAATGGACATGAGTTTGAACAACTCCGTCCCCCTTTATTGGAGAGCTTCCCATGGTGAAGGACAGGGAAGCTTGGCATGCTGCAGTCCATGGGGTTGCAAAGAGTCAGACACANACCCCCCACCCCCTTACTGGAGAGCTGCCTAGAGTGGGAGCCAGGTACTAGGGGCCACCTGCCCTGCCCTGCCCTTCAGAAGGCTGAGTTGGCTTCTGCAGCTTCAGTGGGCCTCAGGGGCAGAGAGGGTCAAATCTGGGCACATAGCTGAAGGGTCTCATCCAAGGAGGATTTATCCAGAGCTTCAACCCCGCCCCCCACCCCCCACCCCCTTACTGGAGAGCTGCCTAGAGTGGGAGCCAGGTACTAGGGGCCACCTGCCCTGCCCTGCCCTTCAGAAGGCTGAGCTGGTTCCTGCAGCTTCAGTGGGCCTCAGGGGCAGAGAGGGTCAAATCTGGGCACATAGCTGAAGGGTCTCATCCAAGGAGAAAGTCCCCCACTACAGTGGACTGAAATCTGGGGTGAGACAAGGGGCCTTGATGCGACGCCCAAAACATATGCTACACTTCCCTATGAGGTTGTTGCTGGTTAACTTGAGTTGACTTATGTATGATGCCTAGAACAATACCTGGTCCCCGTGAGGCTGTATATGGATTATTCTTTTGTGTGATAATTGCAACATGCTTGGCACTTCTCTTGGCTCTGTGGATAAGCCTTATGGGACTTACCTTCAGGTCACAAAACATGCCTTGTTTATGTATCAGAACTCTGGCATTGTTCAAATTCCTTTACCAGGAAGTTCTGAGGCCCCAGGTAAAGGGGTCACCTGCAGATGGTGGGATGACATGACCTGCCTGTTTGCCTTATGTATCTATGTTCTATCTGCCCCCCACCCCCAGCCCCCGCATTACAGAGGCCTGTGCTTCACGCCCTGCTGCTCATGCTCAGGATATGAACAGGGATTTGAGAGCTAGAAGTTTGAATCCTGGATGTAAAACAATTACACCCAAGTTGTCCACCTTCTGAATTATATCCTGATGGGAAGAGAAGACAGATGGAGATGAAAGTCACTTAGCTTTTTAATAATTGATGGATAAGAGACTGCAGTGTGTGTAAAAACATACTAAGAGTGGTTCAGGCAGAAGACACCACTTCCCGACCCCTGAGGCCGGCCTGCCCTTAGCTAATCTGATGACCTAATCCTTTCACTAAGGGCTTCCCAGGAGGCGCCAGTGGTAAATAACTCTGGAGTGGGTTGCCATTTCCTTCTCCAGGGGATCTTCCCGACCCAGGTCTCCCGCATTGCAGGCAGATGCTTTTACCGTCTGAGCCATCCCATAGGTGTCCCTAAGATACAACCCTCGATATGGTTCCTTGAGGACTGTCTTGGCCACCTTCCTGCTGGCTGCCTCCTCGGGCTGCAGCAGTTTCTGGCTTCGCAGGGCTCCCGCTTCCCCTCAGCCTGGTGACAGCACCGCCAGTCATGACTCCTGCAGTCCCGGCTGAAGCCTTCTCCAGCTCCATCTCAGCTCTCACGAGGAGGAGCTGGTGAGGGCTCGCCCAGGGCAAGAGCCAGAATTCACTTACTCTCCAAATCTTAATACATGGCTATGAAAACTTGCTTCTATTGGTCTATAATTTTCTAGTCACAATCTCAAGATCCAGAAAGCTCTGTAAAGCGAAAGCTGAGTATAATCCTTGCATGGAGGGATGCATGTCTTTAAGGGTAAGGCCCCAGCTACATACTGGTAAGAAAGTGGCCAAGTCTCCTAGTTCAATTCCAGGCTGTTTATAATGTCCTTCTCTAAACATGGTCAAACTCAATGGGCTGGACTCTAGGAATTAACTATACCTCTAGGGTACTTCTCTAGCGGTCCAGTGGGCAAGACTCTGTGCTCCCAATGCACAGGGCCCAGGTTCGATTCCTGGTCAGGGAACTAGACCTCACGTGCCTCAACTAAAGACCCCACACGCCCCAGTGAAGATCAAGGAGCCCTCGAGCCTCAAATAAGACCTGGTCAGCCAAATAGATAAATAAATATTTAAGAAAAATAATAAGTATACTTCCATTCAATGGTGAACTAGTAAATGTTTAACGCATGGCTCTCAGGAAAAGAAAAAGTCCTGATACGTAGCATTTGCCAAGGTCCACAGCAACAGACTGACTTCAAGCTAGCAGCGGGCAGAGCTGGGCACACAGGTCCTCCTGCCCACTGTGGGTGGTCTCCTGAACCCATCCCATCATGCCACATCCTGCCTCTCTGAGACCACGTCTAGACGTCCTGGTGGGAGCTGTGGGCTGTTCCCAGACTTCTTAGCAGCACATTTACCAGGTGAGTCACTGCCCCTGAACATGAACTTTTTCAGTTAAGTGCTTGGGGAAAGGCCTCATTTTCAGTTCCTTAAAGAACACTTCATTTTTACCCCCAACCACCACCAACGAGGGGCTTCCAGATGGCACCAGTAGTAAAGAACCTGCCTGCCACAGCAGGTAAGAGATGTGGGTTCGATCCCCTGGAGGAGGGCATGGCAACCCACTCCAGTATTCTTGCCTGGAGAATCCCCATGGACAGAGGAGCCTGGTGGGCTACGGTCCATAGGGTTGCAAAGAGTTGGACATGACTGAAGTGACTTACAGGCACGTAGCACCACCAAGTAACACGGCGGTCAGGTGCCCATTATAGCAACTAGGAATCTGATGGGTTCAAGAAACCAAAACTGAATTTTCTTTTCATAGTGTCTTAAGTCTGGAGTTTTGTGGAAAAAAAAAAAATCATAGAGTGAGGTATGGGGTCTGCAGTAGACGGAGAAACACCATGGAGAGCAACCAATGTATTAGTATAGAAGAATCTTCTGGAGCACCCTCCTCCCCTCCCCCTGCGTCAATTCGCTGTCTTGACCAATATAAAGTGGCAGGGGAAAGGGAAAAAAAAAATCTGTGTTGCTTAGTTCTTACTAAGCATCTCCCCCAGGACAGGGGGAGATAGGTCAATACAACTCTGAATTAGGGCAACAACAACCCACGGAAACTCCATCTTGAGGATTTATAGGAAAACCGAAGCACACTTATAGTCACACTGGCTGGTGGGGGAGCCCCATTAGTTCCCAGCACTGGGCTATTTAAGATGAAATGTCTGGGATATGGATGTTGTTTTCTGGGAAGAATAATCTACTCTGAGGTCATCAAAATCAATAGGGCACTTTGAAGGCTGGCTTGAGCCATTACTGGTAATGTTTTGGTTGTGTTTGCGAATCAACCATTCAACAGAAATAGGACCATTTAGCAGTTCCCACGGAGGGCCCTGTCGGTCCCGCAGTGAAGCCTCTCCATTCACTGAAAGCACTGGCGTCTCCCAGGGGCTTGGGGAGCCTGAGGGAGCCTGGCAGGAGAAACCAGAACAAAAGATGGAGCCTGAAGCTTCCAGGGTGCCCCATGCCCTGAGTTTGCCTGGGATTGAGGGGTTTCCTGGGACGCTGAACTTGTAGTGCTAAAAGCAGGACGAGGAGAAGATGGGACAAATGGAGAGGGAAGCATAGAAACATGCACATGAAATAGACAGGGGGGACTTGCTGTATGTAAAATAGAGAGTCAGTGGAAATCTGCAGTATGACGCGGGCACTCAATCCAGTGCTGTGCGACGTCCTAGAGGAGGAGGATGGGGTGGGAGACAGAGGAAGGCTCAGGAGGGTGGGGACATCTGGCTGACTCAAGCTGAGGTATGACAGAAGCCAACACAATATTGTAAAGCAAGTATCCTCCAATTAAAAACAAATTTAAAAAAACACAATATTGTAAAGCAATTATCCTCTAATTAAAAAAAAAAAAGGACAGTCCTGGTCAAATCAGGGCTGTTGGTCACCCTAAGCAGTAGTTCTCAACTGGAGCTGGTGTTGCCCCTCACATAGGATTCCCAGATAAAATCCAGGACTCTCTATTACATCTGGACTTCACATAAACAACGGATGCTTTTGTAAAGACACATGTATCGCAGTGTTCACTGCAGCACTATTTACAATAGCCAGGACACAGAAGCAACTTAAAAGTCCATCGACAGATGAATGGATAAAGATGTGGTACAAATATATAATGGAATACTACTCAGCCATTAAAAGGAAAGCGACTAGGTCATTTTCAGTGATGTGGATGAACCCAGAGTCTGTCATACAGAGTGAAGAAAGTCAGAAAGAGAAAAACAATATCGTATATTAACACATGCATGTGGAATCCAGGAAAATGGTACTGATGAATCTATTTGCAGGGCAGGAATAGAGAACAGACCTGTGGACCCAGTGGGGGAAGGAGTGGGGATAAAAAAAGGACAGTCCTGGTCAAACCAGGGCTGTTGGTCACCCTAAGCAGTAGTTCTCAACTGGAGCTGGTGTTGCCCCTCACATAGGATTCCCAGATAAAATCCAGGACTCTCTATTACATCTGGACTTCACATAAACAACGGATGCTTTTGTAAAGACACATGTATCGCAGTGTTCACTGCAGCACCATTTAAAATAGCCAGGACACAGAAGCAACTTAAAAGTCCATCGACAGATGAATGGATAAAGATGTGGTACATATATACAATGGAATACTACTCAGCCATTAAAAGGAAAGAGACTGGGTCATTTTCAGTGATGTGGATGAACCCAGAGTCTGTCATACAGAGTGAAGAAAGTCAGAAAGAGAAAAACAATATCGTATATTAACACATGCATGTGGAATCCAGGAAAATGGTACTGATGAATCTATTTGCAGGGCAGGAATAGAGAACAGACCTGTGGACCCAGTGGGGGAAGGAGTGGGGACGATGAATTGAGTGACTAGCCTTGACATATATCCACTACCATGTGTAAAACAGATAGCTAGTGGGAGGCTGACGTGTCACACAGGGAGCTCAGCTTGAACAGAGCTCTGTGATGTCCTAGAGGAGTGGGATAGGGTGAGTGGAAAGGAGGCTCAGAAGGGAGGGTTTTTATGCATATGTATAACTGATTCACTTCATTGTATAGCAGAAGCTAACACAACATTGTAAAGCAGCTACCCTCCAATTTTTTAAAAATTTGACAATACCTTTTTAGTATAAGTATGTCCCAAATATTAAAATAAAATGAGTCCTTGCTTATTTGAAATTCACATATAACTAAGCATCCTTTTTGTTTCCTTCCTTCTTTTGTCCCTTCCTCCCTCCTTCCTTCCTTCCTTCTTTCCATCCTCTTTCCTAAAGCTGGCAAGCCTACTCATAGGGGACATGTGGCAACCACTGGAGATGTTTTTGGCTGTGATAAGCACAAGTTGGGGGTGGGGGCGGGGCACGGCCACCAGTATCAAGTAGTGAGAGGTGCTGCTAAACTTCCTACAGGGCAGGCGGCAGCTTCTGGATACAAGGAATTATCTGGCTCCCAGTGTGAAGAGTGCAGAAACTGAGAAAGGCAACCTCACGTCAGCTGAGCACCCACGTCTTCTTGGGAGAATACTGGAGGAAGGATATAGGCGCCTCTGCTTCACACACACAGAAAAATGTAATAAAAGTTCTTGACTTTGAACACTTTCAGTCCGACAGTCACACAGCCATTGACGGTTAAGAAGTGACCAGAAAAAAGGCTCTTCCCTTGCAAGGGACCCCCCTTCCACACGGAGAGCCAGGCAGGGTGCGCGGGACACAAGAGCGCCGATAAAAGCTCTATCCGTGTGGTCTCCAGGACGCTTCCATCTCCCCGGACTTTTACGGTGACATTTCCTGGCACTCCTGAAGCTTGTTCTTGGCTTTGAAAACAAGGCTTCAGAATGTCTTCATTGTTTTACCTACACCGGTACTGGCAGCGCCTGGAGTTTTCCTGAAGGAAACTGTAGCAGCAGGAATTTTCTGTAACACTGTAATAAGGGGGCTTTATCCTTTCAAAAATACATCCTTTCTCCTTGTTGCCAGCTCTCCCACAGCCCTGTGAAAAATGTAGCTGAGGAGTTACTGAGGCGTTTTTATGTTCCTCCTGTCTCCCTGTAGTTCATAGCAGGCAACAGAAGGCAATTATTCTGGAGTTAGCACTTTGGCTCGCTTGCTTGAAGGAATGAATGAATGAACCAAAATGGCACCTCTGTGCTCATTTCCCTGTTGTGTGAGACGTGAAATGTAAACAGTGACATCTGCTCAAGAGGAACTGGTGAATCTGATCACCCCTGGGACCTCAAGTAAGTGGAATTATTGTTTCATGGGTACAGAACTTGGGGAAGATGAAGAGGTTCTGAAGATGGATGGTTGTACAACAGTATGGTTGTACTTAATGCCACAAAACAGTACGCTCCCGAGTGGTGAAAATGTTGAATTCTGCGTTATATATGGTGGTGGTGGTGGTGATTTAGTTGCTTAGTCATGCCCAGCTCTTTTGTGACCCCATGGACTGTAGCCTGTCAGGCTCCTCTGTCCATGAGATTTCCCAGGCAAGCATACTGGAGTGGGTTGCCATTCTCTTCTCTAGGGGATCTTCCTGACCCTGCTTCTCCTGCATTGCAGGTGGATTCTTTACCGCTGAGCCACCCAGGATGCCCTCTGTTATGTACATCCAACAACAATTTTATAAAAGGAATTGTTGGTATGGTATTCAGCTAAGCATAGAGTAAGTCTTCAGTAATGTTTGCTGACTATTAACCTAAGGTTGATCTGGGTGTAAGCTAACTGCATGTTTTCTCCCAATAAGCTGGTCAGGTGCCTCGTCATCTGGCATCATTACCCTTAAAGGAAAGTGGACGTGGCCTGTTCTTCACTCCAGCAATCACATGAAGGTAAGTCTCTACCCTCTTGGAGGAGCGTGCTAAGTCAATTCAGTCATGTCCAACTCTTTGCAACCCTATGGGCTGTAGATCACCAGGCTTCTCTGTCCATGGGATTCTCCAAGGCAAGGATACGGGAGTGGGTTGCCACGTCCTCCTCCAGGGGATCTTCCTAACCCAGGGATCAAACCTGCATCTCTTATGTCTCCCTTCATTGGCAGGTGGGTTCTTTACCACTAGCACCACCTGGGAAGCCCATTGGAGGAGTAGAAACCAACTTTAAGGCCTTGACTCGACTCCAGGGGCAGACTAGATTGGACTAGAAGGAATCCCAGTGGCCTCGCCAGTGATCCACTTTGGGCTGGTGAGTCATCTATTCTGGACCAGTGATACCCAAGGAGAAGGTGGCTGCAGGTTCTGTGAAAGTTCTTAGAGGAGGCCAGGTGGCCCCTGACAGCCACCTCCAGAACAGAGGGGGGTCCAAGCATAGGATGGGGCTGATCTGTAGGGGGCAGAGAGCAAAGGCACATAGAGTCTCGGCCCACTCCTCCCTCACACGTACTGCTGTCTCCACGCCTCAAGCCACCCACCTCTGACTTCCAGTCTGTATGCAGGCGAGGTTTCTTGTTTTTTGTAGCCAATTGGACCTGGCTTTTCTGTCACCTGCAGCTGGAAGCAGGGCTGATCCCCGTGAAGCTAAATAAACGCAAGCTTTATATCTCTCTGCTTACATGGGCCCTGCCAACATCCCCAGAGGGCCCAACAAAGCATCCCCATGCTTTTGTGAAATTTGCAAAGGTGAGATATTTTAAGAAAGAAAGTGTGAGAAAGTGTTAGTTGCTCAGTCATGTCTGACTCTTTGCAACCCCGTGGACTGTAGCCCACCAGACTCCCCTGTCCATGGGGATTCTCCAAGCAAGAACATTGGAGTGGGTTGCTATGCCTTCCTCCTCCAGGGGATCTTCCCAACTCAGGGATCGAACCCAGGTATCCCACATTGTAGGCAGATTCTTTACCAACTGAGCCACCAGGGAAGTCCTTTTATATTTTAACTGCAATGCTTTAGACCACTGCCTCTCTGCCTGGATGTCTCTGTGTCATGTTGCTCGGGGGGTGTTGGTGCTATTGAGGCAGCCTGAGGAGTTCAAGGATCTGAGAAGGGGGGATGGAAGGCCTTGGTTCAGGGTTACTTTGTGCTTTAGCCAAGAATTCCCTTACCTTCCCCAGAGCTGACTCACCTGATTTAACACCTTGCAACCCTCTATGTGCACCTATGTGAAGCTAAGCCCACAGCCAAGGGTGCAGGAACCATGGGGTCTTCTGGATGCACCTTTATGTCCTGGCTCTGCGCTCTGTGTGGTTTGGGGCCACAGATACATCCGTTTTCTCATCCATAAAATGGAACTCACTTCACAGAACAATGGTAAGGATAAACTCATGCAAAGACCTTGGCACAAACTAAGTGCTCACATAGTGAAAGACATTAAGGTACTGGATCTGGCCCTTAAAAGGATGACTCAGTGTATTCAAAGCCTCATTCCATGGATTACAGAGTCAAAGTCTTTCTCAAATACCCTAGTGTCTTCTGTTTTTTTCCAGGTATCAGTTAAGGAGAGGCCAGGAAGATAAATGGTTGAGGCCAAACAAGGACATGTGTGGGTGAAGTGTGACCAGAGGGGAGGGTGTGGCCTGTGACAAAGCAGTGAGGGGTGGCCCTGCCAGGGAGCAGCCATCTCTGCTCCAGCCAAGTGTTGCCAGGCAGTGGGGGTTGCGGGATGCCAGTATTTTTAAGAAAAGCCAGAAAATCTGATTGTTTTCCCCTGAAACTCTCCAGATTTTTTAAACTCTTCAAGTAATTTTTTTTAAAAAGTTAAACCCTGTCCAGCCCAAACAAAACAGAAGTCAGGGCTGAATCTGGCACAGCTCCCCGGTCGCTACACTTGCTTTGAAGTCTGGAGGTCAGTCTGGGAGTTCCAAATGCCAAGGCCACCTGGCCTCTGTCCCTNACTCAGTTGTGTCTGACTCTTTGTGACCCCATGGACTGCAGCACACCAGGCTTCCCTGTCCATCACTCCCAGAGCTTGCTCAAACTCATGTCCATTGAGTCAGTGATGCCATCCAACCATCTCATCGTCTGTTGTCCCCTTCTCCTGCCTTCAATCTTTCCCATCACCACGGTCTTTTCCAATGAGTCAGTTCTTCCCATCAGGTGGCCAAAGTATTGGAGTTTCAGCTTCAGCATCAGTCCTTCCAAAGAATATTCAGGACTGATTTCCTTTAGGATGGACTGGTTTGATATCCTTGCAGTCCAAGGGACTTTCAAGTCTTCTCCAACATCACAGTTCAAAAGCATCAATTCTTCAGTGCTCAGCTTTCTTTATAGTTCAACTCTCACATCCATACATGACTACAGGAAAAACCATAGCCTTGACTAGATGGAACTTTGTCGGCAAAGTAATGCATTTCCCTCTTGCATTGTTTCAAAAACAGTTATAAGCTGGTGTCAGATAGCCTATTTGAATTGTACTGTGGTCTCCTTTCTGCGATGCAAAAAGAACTTTAAGAGGTGGTCTGCAAAGAGAGTGCTATAATTTTGAGCACCAAACATGGCATGTGATGAGCATAGAGTTAAAAGATAATAAGTGCCGAAGTAGCTCTTGCTGAGTTTGAGGGCGATGGTACAGGATGTAATCTGCATATCAGGTTAGTCTTGATTACCAACTAGTGATCAGGAACAGTTGAAGTAAGAAAGAACTCTGGAAAGGGCAAGAGAAAAAAGACAACTTTTCCCTCTTTTTCACTGCAACAGGATCCTTTCCATTGTGGAAAAATAAAAACTCAAGAGTGGCGAAGCTCAGACATGAAGAACAGACCTGTGGTTGCCAAGGGGAGGCGCCTGAGGGAGAGTTGGAGTGGGAGGTTGGGGTTAGCAGATGCAAGCATTTCTATTTAGAACACATAAACAACAAGGCCCTAATGTAGAGCACGGGGAACTATAGTCAATATCCTGTAATAAACCGTAATGGAAAAGAAGACAAAAAAAATGTATATATTATGTATAATTGAATCACTTTGCTGTACAGTGAAAATTAGCACAACACTGTAAATCAACTAAACTTCAATAAAATAAATTTTTTTTAAAAAGTGGTGAAGCTACCTGCCTAAGGTCCCTCACTAGTCAGGGACACAGCTGGGCTCGAGCCCAATCTGTGATCTGGGCACCTCCAGGTCCCTTGNTTTTTTTAAAAAGTGGTGAAGCTACCTGCCTAAGGTCCCTCACTAGTCAGGGACACAGCTGGGCTCGAGCCCAATCTGTGATCTGGGCACCTCCAGGTCCCTTGCAGGCTTCAGGCTCCCATTCTTTGCTTTTCTTGGATGCAAACAAGTGAAGTGTAAAACTTGCAGCAAATGTGCTAAGCATTCCAATGTGCTAAAGCATTCCAGTGAACATGCTGGGGGAAGACAGGAAGGGGAAGGGCTTCCCCCCGCAATTCTCCTGCACAGGTATCACCTGGAGCTTTTCGGACCCGGGGTTCTGAGTCAGAGGCCAGTGGCGGGGCTCCAGAGTCTGCAGTCCTAAGAAGTGCCCAGGTGAAGTCCTGGGGGCTGCTCTGTCTGCCACACCTTGAGAAGCAAGGCACTATCCCATTGATACGGACAGAAGGAAGGGGCAAAACAGGTGATTAAACAGTTAATCCCACTAGGGGACTGTAAGCAGAAAAATTTGGGAGACCCCTGTAAGTTAATGATTACTCGAGAAAGCAGGTTTGCTTAACCACAACACCACGCAGGCTTGCTTAGCAACAGAACCACATAACAGAAGCATGATACACAGGCCCCCAAACAATCAGACGTGGTGGCGTGAGACCCACACCCTGGCCAGTGGGCTCAGGGAGTTAGTAGTCCTCAAAACATCTTCTCTGGCCCCTAAGACATGGTCTTTGCACAATGCCGCCCAAATAATAAAACAACAGAAGAAAATAAGGCCTACAACCTGCCCAGTGGTGTCATCAAGTTAATAACCTCCAAACAAGCTCTGTGTACAGAAAAAAACAATACTTTATGTAAGGGTGACTTTTCAAAATGAAAGACCCTCACTGTACTGAGACCTGAAACTATTTTTCCAAAGTGCTATGACAATCCTCGTGTAGAGTCGTCTCTTGTGCTGTTGAAAGAGGGTGTTTGCTATAACCAGTGCATCCCCTTGGCAAAACTCTGTTAGCCTTTGCCCTGCTTCATTGTGTACTCCAAGGCCAAACTTGCCTCTTACTCCAGAGATCTCTTGGCTCTACAACATGGATATCACCAGCCGGTCAATACCGAAATCAGATTGATTATATTCTTTGCAGCCAAAGATAGAGAAGCTCTATACAGTCAGCAAAAACAAGACCTGGAGCTGACGGGCTCAGATCATAAGCTCCTTATTGCAAAATTCAGACTTAAATTGAAGAAATTAGGGAAAACCACTAGAAGAGAAGTGAACGGCAAGGGAGAAAGGGAAAGATATACCCAGCTAAATGCGGAGTTGCAGAGAATAGCAAGGAGAGATTAAAAAAGAAAGAAAGAAAGAAAGAAAGCCTTCTTAAGTAGCCAATACAAAGAAATAGAGGAAAACAATAGAATGGGAAAAACTAGAGAACTCTTCAAGAAAACTGGGAATATCAAGGGAGTATTTCATGCAACGATGGGCAAGATAAAGGACAAATGGTAAGGACCTAACAGAAGCAGAAGAGCTTAAGAAGAGGTGGCAAGACTACAAAGAGGAACTATACAAAAAATGTCTTAATGACCTGGATAACCACAACGGTGTGATCACTCACCTAGAGCCAGACGTCCTGGAGTGTGAAGTTGAGGGGGCCTTAGGAAGCAATACTACAAATGAAGCTAGTGAAGGTGATGGAATTCCAGCTGAGCTATTTCAAATCCTAAAAGATGATGCTGTTAAAGTGCTGCACACAATATGCTAGTAAATCCGGAAAATTCAGCAGTGGCCACAGGACTAGAAAAGGTCAGTTTTCATTCCAATGCCAAAGATTTTCATTCCAGTGCCAAAGAATTCACATGCTAGCAAGGTAATGCTCAAAATTCTCCAAGCGAGTCTTCANGAAAGATTGAGGACAGGAGGAGAAGGGGGTGACAGAGGATGAGATGGTTGGATAGCTTCCCAAATCACTCACCATGTCCACCCGCTCAAGTGGACTCAATTTGAGCAAACTCTGGGAGACAGTGAAGGACAGAGAAGCCTGGTGTGATGCAGTCCATGGGGTTGCACAGAGTCGGACACAACTTAGAGACTGGAGAACAACGACAGTCCTGGACTGACCATATAGGGAGGGACAAATAAATTTCCCTTCCCTACCTGGGGGAGGAGCTGATGACAGAAAATTTTTGATGCCTACTCAAGAAAGACAAAGAAGGTCTTCTCCCCCTCCCTACTTTTTCTTTGATTATAAAACTGTAGCCCATTAAGTTCTCAGGGCAAGGCATTTCTCACCCACTTGCTTATAAACCCCACAAGCATCCTATTCTAATAAATCACTTCTTAGTGACCTCTTCACTCTTGCTGAAATCTTCTCTGTGCTGAGACATAAAGGACTATGGTGTCAGAGCTCTCTGGAGCGCCCTGAAACGACACCAGTCGGTTTCACTGTGATCTCAGACCCTTTGAGGACAACTTTCATGGCATGGTGACACAGCAAGGACGTAGGCGGTCAGCATGGACCCATCACTGGGTCTCTTGACATGTAGCTGTCCGGCTTGCCAAGAACTTTGAGGCTACTGTCGAATTTAATCCTCAGTTGTCCTGTACACGTTACACAGATGGGGCTCAGGTCTCTGAACAGTTTTAACAAATCCAGTCTTCCTGACTTCAGGCAGGGGAAATGAGCTTGCACTCCAGCAAGAAGGATTCAGCACAGTAAATAATGGCACAAACCCACCCACCCCCAGAACCCGTGTGAAAGGGACTAAGACCTAATGAAGCCCAGAGGGGCTGGTGGAGGGGTGAGACATGGTGAGTGATTTGAGAAGCCTGGGTGCTGGTGGCAGGCTGCCAAAAGTGGTATCTCAGCAGGGCCATGCTTGTTTTCCTGGAGTAGATTTCGCACATAAAGGTCCATGCCAGGAACCTGAAGAGGGACTCTTCAGTTAAAGGAACTGAGTCTGAGCTTTCTTGAGAGGCCCAGCCTTGGGGCCACCATATTTACGGTTGCTAATGCTCGCCCGCCCTGTGATATCCCACCCTACATGGTGGTTTTTCTCAGATGCTAGTGATGTGCATGGTAATCCCATTTTTATGACTTACCAGTGAAGACATGTTGGGAGATTTCAAGGACAAGACACGCAGGCATTGGGATGAGAAAGAGGGCATCAGGGACAGGTGGGATTGAGTTCTGAGGTCCCTCATCACGAGAGGTGTGCTGGGCTGTCACCTTGGAGCCCTTAGATCTCTTAGGACAGAAGACGCCCACAGCTCAAGTTTTCTGGGCCACCGTATAATCTTGGTTTTCAGCCATCTCTGCACCTCTCTGTGGAAACTGGAGGGAGGAGGGTTATTGCTTGCTAGTCAAGG